TGTAACAAAATTATGATTAGCTGACAGATGCCTATATTCGCAATTTAAATCAATATATAATACTTCTTTTTTTGAATAAAATTTTTTTGCGTCTGCTTGCTTATTTTGTTTAACAATATTTTCCCCATTTTTTTCTCGTAAGAAAATCTTTAATTCGTTAATTAGATTATAGCTGAAATACGGTTTTATACTATCATTTACTTTATTAATTAAATCTTCATTTAAAAAAGTAGATCTAGAAGGACTCTCCTCTTCTTCCCTATTCGTACAGTAATAATTTTTGTATAATACAACAATCATTAAAACACCCCAAAACAGCAACAATAAACGTTTAATTAAGAATTCATTACTCATTGGGGTTAATATTTTGATGAATTTTATTTAGATAAATTAAAAATAGATTTATGATACTTAAAAGGTGGAATAAAGCTCTTTGTGTATTAATGACTATCTTAACCCAAAAAGATGTATCAAAAGAAAATATAAATTAATTTTTTAATTAAATTTAAATATCTAATCTAAAATGTAAAACATTATACAACTATTTGTTTAAAGGTTTTTATTCTTGTTATAAGTCTGACATACTAAAAATTGACACAAAATTGTAAAAATTCTTTTAATAAATATTTCCTATGATCTTTGATTTGGAAATTTTGCTCTACGCTATCTTCTCATTACTGTTTAAGTATATAATATTGAAATTATTTAGAATAAAAAAGAAAGGTTTATTGCCTTAATTAAACTAGCAAAATACGTTTATCTAAAAAAAAGAATTTAAATTATATTGTACTTCTACTCAGCTTAACGACAAATTAATTTTTTTAAAATACTTCCAATTCCTATATCTCAAGTTTATTTTTTTTGCTTGTAATAAATAAACATATATTTTGTTACATATTAAGTTTAAATAGTACATCAAATTGTCATGTATCATCGGTCATTATTGTATCTGTAATATTTTTAAAAATATATTTATCAACAGTTTTTACTTAATTTGCTTTCTTCCTGCACGGGGTAAAAATTTAAAAAATATCTATTTAGATTTTAATTAATAATAAGAATAGTAGTGATGCTGTCTCCTTGACAATGTTTCTATACTTTTGTTCTTACAAAACACTCTCCTTTTAACTATGAGTTTCACCATTTTCTACTATTTTTAGATACTATTAATCTATAAGACTCTTTTACAGTGGTTATTCCTTTTAACAGGATTTTGAGAAAATAAATGACAAATATCTCAGTACTTTTAGAAATGTCAATTATATGACTAATCGATAGTTTAGATGACCTTGTCGAGTAATTGATTCTACCACGCAATTGGGTTAAAAATTTATTCTTTTTTTACAAAATTTTTTGTTGATTCTTAAAATAATTTTTTTCATAACTAATAGTAAGACATACAAAGGTTTTAGCCAACCTAAACAGTAACTTATTAACTTCATCCCTTTTAAATCTAGGTAGCTAGCACATTTATGGCATTTTGCTAAATCAAGCTTTTAGTAATCTTTAAGATTTTTTTACATAATTTTTTATGTAGCCGTTTACTTTTTGTATACATAAACGTAATTCAAAATTCCTTTTTTATTTCATTAATATTTGTAAAAGTTTAATATATAAAGTAACGCCACGTGATAGGTTTAGATAGAAGATATGGTATCTTACATATTAAGACTTTCATCTTAATTTTTTTCGATTTCTTTGACTCCTATCAATAATAATTTAAATTAAATTTAGAAGTGGGCTAAGGAAGGTAGTAAAAATAAATTAGTTAATTGCAACTCCTAATGCTTATCCGATATTTGAATTGGATTCTAAGAAAGAAAACTTTAAGATGATGTACTTGAGTTTGGAAGCTCTGAAGACGACACGTAACGAATAAAAAAAAAGCTTGTATATGCCCTAATAAATATATTTAGTTTATATGAAGCTTATCTTTATTGAAATTTTATTTTAAACGGAGGCATAATAGTAGATAAACTTACTTTGTGATTTTACAGTTTAAGTTGTTTAATATAATTTAAAAATTTGTTCTTTAGATATTTTTATACTAATCACTTACTAACCACTAATTAGTCTTACTATCACTTGTTTACAGTATTAAGTCAAAATATTAAACAGTATAAAAAATTTATTCTTGGACTACATTGCCACCTGGCGACGATCTAAAAAATAATACTGTTTATAGCTTTTAATTGTTGCAAATATTGTTTTTAACTAACTTCAGTCTACTATCGATTTTTTTATTTCTTATTTTTTAAATTATTCGAATGCAAGTTTTTTTTAAAAAATAAAGGATGTATTATTTCCACAAATTCCCTTTTCGTCCTTTAATTTTCATTCTTAAAAAACAATTATTGCTTATTAAATACAACAAAATTATGTCTCAGATTAAAAAAATTTATTTTTTTGTATTCATTTCCTTTTGCTTTACTAAGTTGTATTTTGTTCTCAAAATATCCTTATCCTTTGTAAAATATTTCATATGGCGTCAGAATTACGATTAAAATGAAATTTTGTATATTTTTAAAAAAAATTAGAATGTTTTCAGTAAAAAATATGCAATTATCATAGTATTATTTACCACACGCCATTTGTTTTAATTAATTTTGCTATTATTTTTTATTTTTACCTATCGGAATCACAGAAGAAAAGGAAATATTTTTAAATAAATCATTGAATTAACTATCTTTACTGGTTCTAATACCACAATTATTTAAAAAGTTTAATTTTTTTACATCAATTTTTACATTTAATTTATTACATGATCTTCCATATTTTTATTTATTTTGTGTAAACCTGAATTTTTAATTTATATTTATAATCTAAATCTTTTGTAATTACTATATTTAAAAAAAGTTTTACAAGCATGTTTTGGTAATATGATAGCATTTGGCGCTTGCCAAATTAAATTAAATTTTTATTGTTGCTTGGTTTTAATTAATAATTTTATAATTAATTAAAAGTTGCCCTTTAAATGTCTATAAATTTTTTGTTTCCAGTTGTATTTTCAATACTATCTTTAAAAATGAAAAAAAGTAGTCTTTCTGTTAGTGAATTTCAGAATCAAATTACAATTTGCCGCTTTGATATATATTACGGTCTTGAAATAATAAAACATGACAACATTCAGATTTATTTCGAAAATAATTACATTTTTGATCATAATAATGTATTTCAATATTCGTCATTTCAACGTGTTTTTTATAAGAATGGAAATTACATTTACGTATCTGATTTGTTATACGATAACAACATTATAAATATACATCCAGAAGGTATTAAGCTTCTAGCAAAGCTAAATATAATATTTAAAGATAAAGCTGATTTTTTGACTGCTAAATACAATAAAAAAAAAGAAAAATGTAGTATATCTTTAAAATACGATGAAATTATGCCGTGTTCAACATCGCAGGTTAGATTTTTAAAATCGAGATACGGATTTGTTCATAGCGGAAGAAAAGATTTTTTTATTAAATTTAAAAAAACTTTACCAGATTTTTTCAATGAAGTTTTAGTAAAAGAATTACCAATTTCTTTTATAAATGATCTTAAACAAAAATCAGAACTATGGCAATTTACATATAGTGCACTGCCTTATGACTTTTTTGATAATAGTGAAAAAATTTTGAAGGATTCAATTTTTTTTAGTACTAAAGATCAAAGTATTCTAAATTTAATGCTGGCGGAATATATTTAAATAAATTATTTGGTTTTAATATTGTTTTTACCTTTATCCTTTAATGATGAAGATTTGTTAAAAGAAGATTTGGACCTTTTACTTAACATGTTTTTAGATTAAACTTTTTTGTAGTATTATATCACCACGTTTTACTTTAAGACGAATTATTGGGTTATTTACAGTCATTGATGACGTTGTATTTATTATTTACTTTAATTGATAACAAGTGTTAGACTTAATCTTAGCATATATTTAATAGTACCTGTAAACAAATTCTATAGAAGAGTTAAAGAACTGCAATCGTAGATAGATAACAAAGTTGTAATTAAGAATAAATTAATAAATTTAAGATTTTTTAAAAATGAACAAATTTTGATTAATTAAATCTGGAAGGAAATGATTCAAAATTGCACAAATTTTAATATGCCCCGATTAAATTTTTTTTATCCCTATTTTTAAAATGATAAGCAACGAAGAGACGCATAAGACTATACGTAATACAAAAATTCATGTAATTAAAGCAAAAAAGAACTTTTTAACGGAAGTAGAACCTGATATTACAAAAAATGGGGTAATCAAAAATTTTATTTTTTACCCTTAATTTAAAAATTTTATAAAAAGAACAGTAAAGAATCAAGTATATAAAAAATAAAAAAATTTCAAAGGCAGTTAAAAACAATATTTTTTAATAGCATTTCCACTTTCGGTTTTAGTGCACATATACCTTAATAAATATAAATTACAAAGTCTTTTTGTTCCGCATCTGAGTAAAGTTGATTCCTTTAATGGTCTCTAATTATCTTCTATAAAATTGGTATAAATTCCCGAGATTGGATCTTTAAAATGAAGAGAATGAATAACTGTAAAACGAGATTGAAATAATAGATGTAAATTATTGTAAGCTCTTCATTTGTCGGAATAAATAAATGATTAATCCAAAGTTTATATAGGCAACTAAAAGAGGCTCTAATGCTAAATTATCTCTTTTATCAACCTAAATAATTATTCTTTTTATTTCCTCGGCCCATTCTACCATACCTATTGCTCAAATTCCTTTAATTAAATGTTCTCTATGGTATTTATTTTTACCTATTTTTGTTTCATCAATTTCTACTGCAATATTCCTTCCTCCTATTGATTTAAACTATTCTATTTTTGCAATGAACATCAAATTTCCTTTAAGTTTTGTAACATTCTTTAATTTACCACTTTAAATACCTAAAATGTTTTTGATAAGCCCAATTGAAGCTCCAAACCACCATAAATTAATTATTTATAGATAAGATACTTTATTATTAAAAAAATTATATTATTCCACATGAAAAAATCATGTTTACATTTATTAAAAGTACACCTCAGTTGCGCAGTAACATTTCCTTTAAATTTGGATATCGAAAATGAATGTATTCTGGTCTTTTTTCCATATCTTACACAATTCTGGTTCATTTTTACATCTATTAGACGAGTATAAAAAGAATTCATTTCTTCTTCGCTCATCATTTTTGACTGCCCCACATTTTGTACACCGAGTTTTATTTTAGTCCTTTTTCTTATTTTGCTTTATTAAAATTTGTAAAATAAATATTTTTATTATTCATACTAGCTTGTGCTATCCCGTTTCAAACAGGATCAAAATGGTGTGTGTTTTTTATTTTGGTAGATTTAATGTATATGATGTGCCTTTGTGTATGTACTTATTTTATTGTTTAAATAATAAAATGCACTTTTTTATTATAAATTAAAATTTGCTATAGACACCTTTTATAAAATTTAAAAAATAAAATAATTAAAGAAAAATGCACGAAAACACTGTAGTGTGGTTAGAGAAATAAACCCTAAAATGATGCTATTCATTTATTAATAAAAAATACAAAAAATTTAAAAAAATTCTAAAAAAGAAGGGTTAAAAAATAAAAAAGTATTTATATTTAAACTTTTTATATATACTGGTTTTTAAAATGGAAACAATGAATACATTCTTTAACATAGAATTACTGTTATTTATATTAATCATAAATCACAAGAGATAAATATTCATTACTTTGATCTACGATTTTTTTTGGTAAATTTTTGTTAATCCCATACCAATTACCCCCTTTAGTATTGGTATATACATTATTTGATTGATTAATAAATTCAATGCTGTGATTAACAATTAGATGCTTGTAAAAATAAATTAAGATTACAATATGTTCGTTAAAAAACAGAATAAATAATAGTATAGTGATAAAATATTTTTTATCATAAACAGAAGAATGGTTTTATTCTACACTCAACATGCAAAATTAATATTATGCGTGTAAGATCGTTCTACTGCACCAAAAACACATACCCCACCTACTCGTGCAACAGTAATATTTACGTTTGCCAAATTTGCTTTCATCTATCTCAATTATTTTACCTTAGTCTCAAAGTTTAAGTAAATCTAAATAACCATAAAATATACCTTCATGATTAAACCTGTTAATTAAGATACTGATTTTTTAACACCAATACTCGTGGATCTAGCAATAAGACATGAAAGAACAAATTAAAACCACAAATTTTATAATTTAATAATAATAATAGCACTTAGTTTAAAGAAGTTAAAAAATGTTTATTTATAATTGTACATTTATAACTGCAAATCCCATTAGAGCATCTTGCCGTTAGAAAACTATATATTCTGATGTTTTCGTCACATTTTAAGCCCTCTATGCTCAAAATACATGCATTTATTGTAGTTACTATAGTTTCATATTGCCCTTATTGTTTAGTATTTAAAAAATGTGGGTTAAAAAATTTTAGTTGAGGTCAACTTAAGTTTGTGCAATTTCGCATAAATTGGCCTTAAATCAGTAATTAAATGTCTTTGATTCAATCATTTAATCTTAAAAAGAAAATTAAATGCTCATAAATTTTAGTAATATTTATCTCTAGATACCCTACTTAGACGGTAATGTGCGGTTGTTGAAGAATGAGATGTAAATTGATTTGCGATAAAGGCTAGTTATTTAGAAGGATATATATTATTTAATATAATTTTTTTAAACACTTCTTTATCAGTACGAAAGTTTATTGGTTGTAGAGGGGGCCAATGGCATTAGTTAAGGCTTGTTACAATTATTTGGTCGTAAATGATTGGTCATTAGCCTGGATTATGACAGTAGACAAGAAAAATTAATTAAGGACATGGTTTTTTTTCTATAAGTTTATCGATTGTAAACAATTTTTGATGTTAAAACAATTCTTGCATACATATATCTTTTGTATATAATTAAATACTTTTAAATAATCTTTAGTAAAAAGGAGACTGTTATTGTTTTAAGACATAGATATTTCTAACAAAAAATCTACTACTTACGAACTGATACTATATCAACAAAGCATTATTTATTAAAAAGTTCACATGCTAAGAAACCACACTTTATTTAATAAAAACATAAAAAGTTAATTTTTTATCTATTCAAATTGTTTTTTTACTGTAAAAAAAACATGTTAGTCCTTAAAATAGCCATCAGCACAAATAATTATCTAGTTCTTTTCAAAAAGTATATTTTTTGGGCCAAAGTTAAGCAAAAGATTATGTTTTTGAATTACATCTATTCTTTTAAAATGTTACAAACAGAAGAAGAATATGTGCAAATTTTAGAAGGTTTTAAAACTTGAATTATAGTGAAAGGATGCATAAAATGCAAATATAACAAGGCTATTTGTAAAAATAGTACTTGTAAAGCACGTTATAGTATTTTAAAAAATATAGTTTTTGCAAAGAATTAAATTGGTGCAAAAGCTTTTTTGAAGGCCATAGAACTCTCTTTAAATGGTCTGCATAATAGATTTATATCAATAATTACAGGACTTCCCAATGCAATGATTGCCCGAATAATATTACTGTTTAATAAAATGAGAATTTTTTATAGCTATACAGGAGATATTCTCTTGGGTGGTAAAAGAAACGTAGTCGAAATAGATAAAAGTTAAGTTTGACAAGCGAAAATACAATAAGGGACATCACGTAGAAGGAGTATGGGTTTTCGGAGCTGTGGAATGAGGGTCAACAAACATATTATTAATGCCCGTAACAAAAAGAACTAAACTAATTTAGGTAATATAACTTTTACCCGAAATCATTTTAATACTATTATATATTTGGATTATTGGAAAGCTTATTGTGATTTAGGAAAATACTATAAACAACATTACGCTGTAAATCATTATAAAGAATTCGTAAATATTGATAATTTAGTAAAAATTCACACCAACACTATTGAAGGTAATTGGGTTTCTGTTAAAAAAGATGTCCCTTTTAGATGTAGAACATTATCTCGTATTAGAACATATTTATTGTATTTTATATTAAAAAGAAATAATAATGAGACGATGTTAATTACGCTTCTAAATTATTCTCTGGAGCATATAAATGAATAAAAAAATTATTTATAAATAAATTGTTTTTTTTGTTAAAAAACTATTTAAAGCTATTAAAAAATATTTTAAAATAACAATTACTGTTTGTTTACCAACACAAATTGTTTTTTTAAGTATTTTTTAATAACTTTAGATAGTTAACACAACCACTTGTTCATTTTAAAATTAAAAAAAATGAATTTTATTCAAAAACATGTTCTTTTGCTTAATCTCTTCCTATTTTTTGCGAAAAAGGGGTGATCATCTTTTAACCATAAAAGCTTCCATTGTGTATTAAAATTTAATATTAAATTTAAAAATTAATTGATGTTAAAATAAAAAAAATTATATAAAATTACATAAAGATATTTAAAAAAAATTATTCAGTTTTTTGATATTTAAAAATTTAAGACTTTATTGTTAAGATACAATAGTTTTTATGTATATAGATAAATATAGTACTATTTTTAGATTTGCTTTAGTTTTATTATAAACAGATTAAAGTGTTTAAAGATAATTTTAAGTTTACAATTAAATTGCTTTTTTATTAATATTTATAAAAAGCTTTAATGTTGTTGTATAAAGTTATTTGAATTATTAACAAAAATTAATGCTTTTCTAAGTTTTTCTTTTTGCTTTTAGGAGCATTCAAATCCCTTTTTATAAAGAAGTTTATAAAAATAAACAATAAATAAACTGCAAATTTTTAAATAATTAAAAAATTTTGTGTTTGTTTAAATTTGTTTTATTTAATTTAAATATTTGTATTTATTAAACTATCCATAAAACTAAAGCAGAGTGTTTTGAAATCATTCATAATTATTTTTAAACAATTCTAAGCATATTGGTTTTAAATTGAAAAAAATTGCGTTTATTTGCACAATCATTGTTTTTAAATATTTAAATTAAATGCAATTTTTTATTTAGATAGGAAATCAAAAAATTACGTTTATTTGCACAATCATTGTTTTTAAACATTAAAATTAAATGCAATTTTTTATTTAGTTTTAAATTGAAAAAAATTGCGTTTATTTGCACAATCATTGTTTTTAAACATTAAAATTAAATGCAATTTTTTATTTAGATAGAAATCAAAACAATTTTAACAAAAATTAAAGTTTAATTTTTTTATTAATTAAATTATAAATATTTTTTTGTTTTACCATAAGATGAAACCGTCGCTACTAAAATTTATAGGAATGAATTATAGCTTTTTACGCGAAAATAATATTAAACCAATAGACAATGATTTTATATTTCTTTTTGATATCGATGATACATTATATAAAGCTTCTGAAAATATGAAAAAAGCAGAGCTAGAAGCTTTTGAATTGGCTTACAATACTTTTAAACATAAAAATAAAAATGCCCCCAATTTTGCTCGCTTTTACGCGGAATCACATATCTGTGTCGAGCGTTTTCACTTTTACTTTAACATATCGCCGATAGAAGCTGAACAGGCTAGAAAATTTGATTTTAAAAAGTTTATAAAAAAAGACAAAAATTTAAAAAACTGTCTTGACAAGATTCCGTACAGAAAATGGTGCTTTACAAATGGTACTAGGGCTAGAGCCGAGACCATTTTGGCAGAACTCGGTCTATTAAATTCTTTTGAAGGAGTAATCTGTTTAGATGGTGAATTATCTGATGAAAGTTGCTTGGGTAAACCTTATGATAATGCTTACAAATTTGTAGAAGAATTGTTAAAAATAAATGATCCTAAAAAAGTATATTTTTATGATGATTCGAGTAATAATATTGCAGCAGGTCTAAAAAGAGGATGGAATTCAACATTAATAGGTCAAGATGATAATCTCGTTCTAATACTTGAAAATGATTTAGAAAATATATTAAACGACATTGATCGCTAAATAAATGATTAAAAATCGAAAAATCATGTTTTGTAAATTTATTTGTTTAATTGGACTTGTAAATTGTAAATTTATACTGTTTCGTGCTATTTTGTAAACAGGGTATATTTGTTTATTAACCATGACACGTGTACAGCAAAACACAATAATTGACGTTTGTTAAATTTTATTATATTTGTATGACACATGTTAAATTTTATTGTATTTGTAACATGGGATATAACTTCTACACAATAATTTATTTCTTCGTGATGAAATTTTTTCTAAATATTTATTAATTTATTGAAATGACAGCATGCAGCAACCTTGAAAAACAAAAGCATAAATTTACTAATTAACAATTAGTTTGGGGTTTATTTTTAGGTCTGTAATGTTATTAGTTCTTAAAAAGTTGGTTATCGTATAATTTAAGCTTATTTAACTATTTTTTTTAAATATTTTATAAAAAGTCAAATTATTTAATTACTAAACAAACACATATAAATAATTTTTAAATAACACCTCTCTCTAAAATTATACTTTTGATTAATTGGATAATAAACAGAATTTTTTTAAAAATTTATTTAATTGGTTTTTATATTATTTTTTCACACCCTTCAATGAATTTCACTGGTTCAACGATTCTAAAATTAATCGGAATGAATTCTGAGAATTCTTCAGGTCAAGGTGTTGATCCACTAAATTCCGACCTGATTTTTATTTTCGACATTGACGACACGTTGTATAAAGCTTCTGAGGAGATGCACAATGCAGACATGAATGCATGGAAGACTGCGTATGACAAATATAAACATAAAAATAGTAATACACCAGATTTTAATACATTTATTGAACTGTCTGATATGTACTGTGAAACATTTAGATCGTTTTTTGATGTAAAGTATTCTGAGGTAGAAAAAACAAGAAATTTCAATTACAAAACGTATTTAAAAAAAGATGAGAATCTATATAATTATCTTAAAAAATTTCCATATAGAAAATGGTGTTTTACAAATGCGACTAAATACAGGGCGGTACCTATTTTACATGCTATTGGTCTTGATGATTGTTTTGAAGGAATTATACACATTGACGATGACTGTAAACAAAATTGTAGCATAGGAAAACCATCAGAAGAAGCTTTTTTGTTTATTGAAAAAATTTTCAATATTAAAGATAAAAAAAAAATTTACTTTTTTGATGATTTAGAACCAAATATCAATACAGGTATAAAAATGGGGTGGAATTGTTATCTTATAAAAAGAGAAGACAGCCTTATAGATGTACTTGATAAGGTTTTAGCAAATTTGAGTGAAAATGGTGAAATTTAAAATAAAAGTTTTGATTTTTTAATTTTAAATTATACTTGTATTGTTTTACTTATGCCATAGTTGCTTGGTTTAACATAATTTTAAATTTTAAAAATTTTTATAAAATTCAATTAAAGTCTAAATTGTGTAATAATTGTAGTTTGAGCTGCAAAAAACTCTTAATATTATACCAATTAACACATTTACTAATTATGCTACATAACTTTTTTTCTGTTAATAGATTTCCTTATATAAATTTATATATACATAAGCATTTAAAAGGTAAAAAATATTATTATTTTATATTAAGGAAGTATTATTCAACTATAAAAGTTAGATAAAACATTTTAAAATGTCATATCTATATGCTTTTTTAAATATAATCTTAACAATCAAATGTAACTAAAAAGGCAACTTCTCACTACATCGATTAAAAAATTTCAAAATAGACAGTAAACTTGATGTTTTAATCTACATAATTGTTAAAAACGACAGTATAAACTCGCTGAAAGATACTTTTAAGGATATTAAAATAGTTGGGTAATTGTGTACAGTAAAGAACTTTAAATTTTTCCTGAAATGTAAGTTAATACAAAAAAATATCAGATAAATAAAAAAGAATTAATTATTTTAAAGCTATTAGATCTACAGTATTAACTTTATATCTGTGCTATAGATTTTTTTTAAAATTTTATATTTATAATATCATAAATACTGTTTTATTTTTTGTAAATGCAAATAAAAAAACATCAAAGTGTCTTAAAATATAAAATGCAATGCTATTATTTTGTAAGCAAAACCTATTTTTTTTCGAAAATAATGCCTTTTTAAATGATTTAAGTTATGCTTGTCCTTCCACATCTAATTCGACTGATATTATTTTATCAAATATCGCACTGATATTTATAATAACGTTATACCAAAGATTTGAACATATACAATCAAATATTTAAACAGTGAAATAAAGCCTCATCTTTTTTTTATTTTATTAATTAGTCTTTTAAATCTTTTAAAACATGTTAAACCTAATTATTTAATAAAATAAACGTATAAAGTTAAGATGATAAAAATCATAATTTCCTATTTTAATATACAAAAATGTGTATACATTTTATTTAATCATTAATATTTTACCTTTTTAATATTTACTATCATATGTGTAAAAAATAATTTTTAAAGATGTTTTATCTCAATATTTATAATAAACATTTATTTTATAATTATGTGTTACTTTTGATTCTAAATTTACAATTTATTGTTTTTCTTTAATTTCGCAATTATACCTTTTAATTACAAATTATTTTTTATATTTTTAAATGATAAATATCTAATTAACTTTGTTAGCTTTCATAAAAAACAAAATTTTTTAATTAAATTCATTTGTAAATAATTTGAAAATCAAAAGTGTTTATTTTTATATTTTCATCTTAATTATATATTTGTTTGTAAAATATTTAAAAAATTAAAATCAATATTTTTTAATAAATTAAAAATTATACCCTTAATGTTGTGTTTTCTGAATCCAGTTTTACTAAAATTTATTACTGTCAGTTATAATAATCCAAATAAGTATAGTATTACTCCTATTAATGACGGATATATTTTTCTATTTGACATGGATGGAACACTGTACAAAAGTACGGAAGAAATGAAGACTTTTGACTTACAACGCTGGGAAAGAGTTTATAATCAATTAAAAGTTAGAAATAAAAATGCTCCACCATTTGAAGAATTAAAAGATAGAAATTTATTGAACACTGAAACGTTTGTTAAGTATTTTAAAACAATACCACGAGATTTAGAAAAAACAAAAGGGTCTGCAGATTACAATCGTTTTTTAAAGGAAGACACGAAACTTAAAAAATGTTTAGAGAGTATTCCAGTAAGAAAATGGTGTTTTACTAATGCAATGGAATATAGGGCGAAAAAAGTACTTAATTGTTTGGATCTAACAGATACATTTGAAGGTGTGATATGCAGAGATAATAAGTGTTTTTATGGTACAGTTATGAGGAAGCCACAAGAGCAGGTGTATAAATTTGTAGAAGAGCTATTACAGATAAAAGATAAAAGGAAAGTTTTTTTTTTTGATGACAATATTGAGAATATTGATACAGGATGTAAAATGGGCTGGAGATGTTTTCATATTACTCCAGATACAGATTTAGTAGGCATTCTAAAAAATATTAAACAAGAAATGGGAGTAAAATTTATTATTTAAATTAAATTTATAAAAAATTTAATTAATGTAAATGAAAATGTTAATTAATTTTTTTTGTTTTCTTTGAAAAAAATTATATGCATAAAATGTTTAGAAATCTTTTTTTATTATTATAAATACTTGTAAAAGAAATATTTTTTTATAGAAAGAAGGATTATAATTACAAAAGAAGAAATATAAAATTTGTATTTTTATTAAACTATTAAAACATAAAAGCTTTTGTCATGTTTGTAATATACAAATTTAAAGTTTTATTGTACATTTAAAAAGATAAATATATGCACGATTTCTATTTACAAAAAGATAATTTTTTTAAGTTTTCTCCTTAATATATTTTTATAAAAATAATCAAACTTAAGATATTAATACTTCTTATATTTTAGATTGTAATAGATTTAATATAAACATTATTATTAATTGCAGTTATAAAAATTAGCAAAAATAATGAATCAATATTATTGTAAAAAAATAATACAGACTACGTTTATAAAAAAATGTTATATTTTGACAAGGTGGAATGAACTATCTTAAATAATTATTCATACTATTTTTAAAATGTAATTAGGTATATTTATATACCTTTACTATTAATATAAGCAAATTTTTAATCCATATTATATCATTTATGTTAAGAATGTAAATTAACAATCTTTAATGATTCACTCTTGTAGATCAAATAAGTGTCTATCTAAATACAATAAATAAAAATATGCATTTATTACATTACTAGATATATGATTATTAATGAATGTAAATCTTATAGAAAATATAATATATATTTATTTTAAGTTAATTTGTTTTCTTTTAAATTATAAAATATTTTTTTCCTTTCTATACAATCTATTTCTGTCAAGTCTTATATTTTTTTATATTTTATTATCAAAATAACATAATTCTAACATTTATAAAATATCATGATTCACTTCATATTTATAAAAAATAACATAATTCTAATATTCATAAAATAACATAATTCTAACATTTATAAAATATCATGATTCATTACATATTCATAAAATATCATGATTCATTAAATATTTCTAAAAAATAACATAATTCTCATTAAATATTTTTTTACTTGGTATAAAAATACTAAATACTAACCCTAAAATGATTAGAGATTTAGACACAGAGATACCATTTATTACTATGAATCCTGATAATATACAAAAATATAATATAAATCCAGTCAATAGTAATTATATCTTTCTATTTGATATAGATGATACACTCTACAAGGCATCTGAAGAGATGCACAATTTAGAAATGGAAAAATGGTATTCAGCATACAAGCATTTTAAATTAGAAGTTCCTTGTGCTCTAGATTTTAATACATTGTTAGATTCTAAACCACTGTACAGTGAAGCATTCTATTATCATTTTAATAAAACACCATATGAAGTAGAAAAAGTTAAGGGATTCTTAGACTACAGTAAATTTGTAAAAAGAAATGAAGATTTAAAATTATGCCTTAAAAATATAAAACACAGGAAGTGGTGCTTTACTAATGGCATGAAATGTAGAGCAGAGCCTATTTTAAAATGTCTTGATCTTCTTGACACATTCGAGGGTGTGATATGCATGGATAATAAATGTCCTAGTAACTTAGTGTTAGGTAAACCTTATAAACAAGTATACTACTTTGTAGAGGAGTTATTGAAAATTCAAGATAAAAGTAAAGTGTACTTCTTTGATGATTCAATTGTAAATATTAATATTGGTAAGAAAATGGGATGGAATAGCTTTCTTATTGAAAAAAAAGATAATATTATTAATGTATTGAATGATGTGATGGATAAGATTGCTGATGAAATGGAAAGGTAAGAGCTTAATAAAATTATATTCTTTTATAAAAAGCGTGTTTTTAAATATTTTCTAGTACTATTTGTTAATTTCTTGTTTTATATAAATCTTTACATTCACTTGTTTGTCATTAATGCGTGTTTTTCTATATAATAATTTTTAAATAAAAAAGTATAAAACTTATTTACATTTCTGTTATTGTAATAATAGTGTAGGACAGTAAAGATCTAGACATGTCAATCAACAGTATTGAGTTGATGGCTCTGACATGTCTGTTATACAAGTAATAATTATTAAATAAATCCATGTTTTATATTAATGATATTTATGACTCTTTAAAATGTATCTTTGATTTTTTGTACATATTTTATTTCTAGATAAATTAATAATATAATTGTAAGTAAATCATGATTAATAAAAAGTGTAATAAACACATCTTTTAAATATCTAATTTACTATTTTTCTAATTGTAAATAGTACTATTATATTTTTACATAAATTATCTTGTGCTATAAAAGATGTATTAAAATAGCATTATTATCTTTTTACTTAAAAGTACAAACAATTCTTAAAATACAATTAAGTATTAAACATTTTAAAATATTTTTCTTATCTAACAAGTAATTAAATAATGCATTTACAACATTATTTTATACTAACCTTTTACATCCCTTCATGAGTGTAAAAAGAACAAAACAAAATGATGAAGATGAAGAACTACTTCATCTCACTAAATTACTATCACAGATACATAAGGAATACTTTAGTACCAGTGAAAATAGTATTATTGAGATATTAAAGAATAAAAAAAAGATATTTACAGGTATTTCTTTTTACGCTTCTAACACTACATTTAAAAAGAAAATAGAAGATTATGGTGGTGTGTTGACAGATGATATTACAAAATGTACTTATGTTTTAACTCATAAGACTAATAAAGTTAATATTAATACATATGAATTGTATAAATCAGTAGTGCTTGATGAAGTTTATATTTTTGAATGTATATATAGACTTAAAAAGCTTAATGTAGAGAACTATATTCTTTATGACTTCAGCGGAGATGAGAAATTGATTAGTGAATTATTTATAGAGTAACATTAACCATCTATTATTAAATAGTAGAAATTGTTAAAGAATAATGTTCTTTTGATTAATGGAAATACTAAAGTATATGTATGGCTTATAAAGATCAATTGTAATATCTTTAAAGATTAATTATAATAATTAACTGTAATAGTAAAATGTCTATTTACACAATGATGTTTAGGTTTTTACACTTGTAAAGTATTGTAAAATCATGAAAGTATTAATTCATACATGTCAACATAAATTTAACTGATTTACTCTAATATTAATATTTACTCTTAATTGTTTTACATTAACTCTTAAAAACAATAAATTTATAAACAATTATTGAATATGTTATGCTTCTGATAATTTAAGTTATTATTGTTTTAGATCTGTACATCAATTTTATGAAATTTTCTTAATCTTCTAATCCTTATTATTTATGCACTTTTAAAATTCTTATTGTTTTAGATCTGTACATCAATTTAATGAAATTTATTATTATCCTCTAATCCTTATTATTTATGCACTTTTAAAATTAATATTTTGTTTTTTATTTGTACATCAATTTAATGAAATTTTCTATTATCCTCTAATCCTTATTATTTATGCACTTTTAAAATTAATATTTTTTTTATATTTGTACACCAATTAAATGAAATTTTCTTAATCTTCTAATCCTTATTATTTATGCATTTTGAAATTATAAAACACCCAATTTATAATTTTAAAGGATTTAAAATAATCATTCAAAGTGATACTAAACCAAAGTATCGATTTCTTAATGCATTAGAACAATGTGTTGAAAATTACAATACAGATTATTTATATTTAGTGTTATATCTTAAGGATAAGGAAAATGTTGGGTATCGAATCAAGAAATGTCTTATTCTGGAGGAATTAGTAATAGAAAAATATAATAGAACTACTAAAATGTATTTTATAGAGTTTTATACAACAGACTATTTATAATACAAATAAAATGTATTCTATAAAGTTTTATACAACAGATAATTTATAATACAAATATCTATGATTGCTTCTTTTAATAAACTTTTTTTTCAGTTTTTGTATCCTATCATTTATGCAGCATAAATTATTAAATTTTTTTAAAATAAAATGACATCCCAATTAGGAAATTAAAAAATTTACTTCTGACATAAATTTAAAAAGATCAGTTAATGTATTTTATAAATCTAGCACTGCTATTTTCATTACTGTCAAAATTTAGTAAAATGTATTTTTATTTATCATAAAACGCAAAAATTTGTCATTGTCTATAAATTATACTTTATCATTTATTTATAAATAAATTAATATTTAATAAATTTTGTATTTTAGCCCTCTAATTTAATTATGCCAGAAGTAAAAAAGTCAGTGAAATACGTTACTCTGCATTCTGAAAACATTGAAAAGTATAAGACAATTATAAGCCCTTTAAATGATGACTATCTTTTTTTATTTGATATTGACGAAACACTATTTCAATTTGAGAAAGAATTTAATAAAGCTGAGATTGCTTCATGGAAAGAGGTTTTTTACAACTTGCAAAAACAGACTTCTGAAACTAGAAGTTTTCACGAAATCTTGATGAGTTGTCCAATGTGGGGTGGTGGTTTTTATAGAGCCTTTGAAATTACAGCCAAGAAGGCTGATGACTTAAGAGGTTTCTTTGATTATAAAAAATACATTTCAAAAGATGAATTATTAAAAAAAACTCTAGATAGTCTTTCTTGTAGAAAGTGGTGTTTTACTAACGGATTGAAATGTAGAGCGGAGGCCATTTTACAATGTTTAGGCATTGAAGAATGTTTTGAAGGTATAATTTGTATTGATGACAACGAAATGGGAACTAGAGGAAAACCTTTTGATTTTGCTTATAATTTTGTAGAATCATTATTTAAGATTACAAAAAAGGATAAAATATACTTTTTTGATGATAATAAAAATAATGTAGAAAAAGGGAATACCTTCAACTGGAATACTTTTTTAATTGATGAGAAAACAAATCTAGTACAATTACTTGATTATTTAAAAGAAAAACTGAATTTGGAAGTTGAACGCTAAAAAATTAAAACAGTTTTATAATATTTTTTTATTGTTAAGTCAGGAGTTTACTACACACACAAAGAATTAGACTATTAACGTATGAAAACTTTTGCTATTATCTTTTAAAAATATACTTCATGACTCCTATTTTATCAATTGTGTGTTTATCTACAGTTAAATTATTAATCTTTTAAAAATAAAATAGAAATTCGTGCTATAAATTGCAAACTTATAAATAAATGTACAGTCAAAATATGTTATTTGCAATTTAAAACTTAATAAGTGAAGCAGAATAAATTAAAATATAGTTTACAATCTTACTTTTTTAATATTAATTCGATTTTATTCTAAAAATTATTTTTTCTAGCACAAAAAATAACTTCTTTTATTAAAAGCTTTTCATTTAGTACTAAAATTTTTTATTTTAAAAAACTACTTTTTTACACAACCAATAACTGTTTTATTTTAAAAAACTACTTTTTTAACACAAAGCTATGTTCTTCATATAAAAAACATTTTTATTTAGTACTAAAATTTTTTATTTTAAAAACGCTTTTATTAAGTAAAAAAATTTTATCTATATTATTTACTCAAAATGCTTACTAAAATCCAAAATAATATCATCTGCTAAAGAATCTTTTAAACTATTTTTCAAAAATCCCAGATGACCTCCGTACGGCGTGACAACCAATAAAATATTTTTATTCTTTAAACATTCAGTCTTATCGATAATAAACTCAGGAATAATAGGATCATCTTTAGAATTTAGTATTAAAAATGGTATTTTAATATTTTTAAGATGTCTTACACTCGATTCTTGTTGATAATACTCATTTAGTGATTTTATATTAAAAATTTTCTTAGTTAATATTGTATCTATATCTCTAAGACTTTTACATTTAAATAACAAATCTAAATCTACCGCATTTTTAAAGATCTCTTTATTACGTTTTATATATTTAAAAAAGTTGCGTGTAAGTATATTATTTAAAAATCTTTTTCTATAAATCCACTTTTCATTCTCCATCCATTTTTCAATTTTAAAAAAATCAAAAGGTAAACAAATAGCCCCGCCTTTTATAATTCTAGGATTTAGACACTGATTATCTCCTAAATATTTAGTAACCCAATTACCTCCCATACTAAATCCATAGATTTCTAAAGAGCCACCAAAATTATGTAAAATGAATTCTACAGCGACATGTAAATCTACAGTCCATCCTATGTGAAAAAAGATGGAATTATTAAGAATCTCTTTAGTACCACGTGCATTAAAACAAAATATTCGATAACCAGCTTTTCTAAAATGATGAGACAGTCCAATAATATATTTACTATTGCTTGATCCATTGAATCCATGTACAAGTAAAACATTTTTTCTTATATTTCTCTTAATAATAGTACATTTATGTTTATTATTTATACAGTAATATTTTTTATCATTGTTTTCTACAAAGAAGTCATCTTTGTCAAATAATAAATTATTTTTTTCATCTATAATATTTTTATCACTAATCTTTAAATTAGTTTCTTTTCTTTTTGTTGTGATATCATCACAAACATCAAGAATTATCTCACCATCATACGGCACTTTCAACCTATAACTTTTCCTAGAAATGGGTTTTACAACACGATGCAACTGTAAATAAGACTGTAAAAAACCTACATTTGTAAATAAATATGCTTTATAAGATTGGTGTAAACTTTTCATTTTTTTAATATATTTTCCTTTACTTGAATGATATTGTAAAAAGGGTTTTTTTGGATATCTTAAAAATGTATACAATACATACAAAATAAATATACTATACTTGTTTAGATTTATAATTTGTTCTAAAAAATTCTTAAAAATTAATATCATTTTTAAGGGGGTAATGTTTAGAAAAATTACAAATTCTGATGTAAATATTTATGAAAAAATCATTTATTTATAGAAAATTAACATATAAATAAAATTGTCTTATGATATGAATTAAAATACAAAATCTAAATTGTTTATTAATTTTATATCACTACAGTACTGTTAAATATTTATGTATCAAATATAAATAATCATAAAATGTTGTAAAATAACATCTTAAGCCTATAATACTAATTACTGTTCTCTTCTAACATTTTTTTATATAACCTTTCTACCTCATTTACTTCTATTTTGTTTAAATTTAACATCTTAAGCAATTTATATTCACAATCTTTCTTTATTGAATCTAAAAGATCCTTATTCTCTATATTAATTCTATTAATAATATTTTTAACTGTACTAAGATAATTATTATTATTAACAGTCATTCTTTTATGTGCGGTAGTAGCATGTAAATTTGTATTTAAATATTTAGTAATCTCATTAATTATGTTTAAATCTATTTCCCCTTCTTCTATAACAACATGTGGATTATCATGTTTTGCCTCACTAAGCTGTACAGAACTGATAATACAATATCCACATTCTTGTTTTTTTACTAAACAATATATTTCATATCTAGATGGTTTTAAATCACAGTTCAGTAGAATATATAATTTATTATGAGACATGTTTGATAATATACTTTTTGTTTCATTGAACTCATTTTCGTGTATTTCAATATCAAAAAATGAAAAATTTTTCGTTAAACACGATAGTAATTTTTTAGCATCATTTAACAAAATTAGAACAGGCATTTAAGGGTAAAAAAATATGACACAAAAGAAAAGTTAATAATTTTAAAAAATCTTTTTTATAATTACGATCAAATTGAAGCTTATATTCAATCGATCACTCTAAAGAAAACTCTTGAAAGTGTTGGAGTTCAAGCGAAGAGGAATCTGACAACTGAGAAACCTAAGTGAAAGAGAATCTTACACAAAATTTAACCCATGTGGAAGTCATATTTTGATAACATAAAAATTGATAACTAATTTAACCTTCAAATAAAACATTTATTATTGTATAATTACATACGTAAATAAATATGATTAAATATTTTTATTTAAAGGTTAGTATTTTCTTTTATATTTGAATTATTGCTTTAGTGACACCATTGAACAAATTTAATGGTAGTACGTAAATAAGAATGATTAAATATTTTTATTTATAAATAGTTTCAAAATTTTATTTACTATGACTTAGCGAATCTAAGTGTAATTTTTTTAATAATTTTTAATGTGAAATTTAATATTTTATAAACGATAAAAATTTTTACTTCTATATAATATTACTTTATTACAAGGCGATCTAAAAATTTATTTTTTTGTATTTATACTGATTTATAAGTACAAAAATAAATAATCATCATTAGAAATATTTGACTTACAAACTACATCTTCTTCTAAATACTCGTATATTTTATAAAGTAAAAAATGCTCTTTTTTCTTATTAATTTTTATTTTAGTATTCTGTATAGCCACTAATAACTCTACCACTTTACAAAACTTTAATGATGCTTCCGTATGATTTTTATTGTTATTTGAATCTTCAAGATCTTTCAGTATTGTATCAAATTGTGGTATTATAACTTTTTCATAAGATATATTTACTTTAAAGATACTCGAATACTTTTTTAGTTTATTTAATATACTCTGATCCAACTTGTGCCTTAAAAAAGCCTTTTCAATACACTCCGCAGAATTAAAATTTTTTATTCTTAAGAGGTATTTTAGAGTTTTTAAAAAATATATGTGATATTTATCTTCTTTTAATAAATGGCTTATAAAATTAATTAATCCTCTATTTTTATTCCTAAGGTACATTAATTGCGAAGTAAGGAGATCGGCCGGTTTAACATTCTGTAATAGTAAAATATCTAGATTATTCAATAGCTTAGACAGAGATCTAGGATTTATCTTTAAAATATTCATAGATTCTGCTTTTGATGCCTTATACATAAATAGTCTAGGATTAGTTTTCATTTTAAACATGTAATAAGAATAAGGAAGACATGTAAGTGGCCAGTATTTACCGTTGTATTTTTCATCTTCCAAATTTTTTTTTAATAAAATATTATTTTTTTCTTGATGTATATTTAAATTTAATTTATCTACTTTCATTTCTATTGTCTTATCCTTATCTTCTTGTATATCATATTCACCGTTAGGTGTATTTTGATCTTTACTTTCTTCATTCATGTTTTGTTCATATAACTCGCTTAACAAATAGTATACCCTCTCAGTTCTATTCATACACAAGCATTTTCTTTTTATTTATGTTACAGTTTTGGAGCATGTTTCAATATGTAACATTGTTTTATCTTACCTATAAAAATAATCTGTTATTGTTTTGTTATGATTATCATTCTTCTTGTAAGTAAAGTATTATCTTATGTTGTCTCCAAATACGATCCAGAACTAGCTTTAGGTCAAAAAGAGATTGTCGGGTTTTTAAAAGAACACAATAAGACTGTGGACGTAAAAAATTTTGGTGACCTATCTTTTATAACGTACAATATGGAAAAAAAAGAAGCACTCAACTCAGTTAAACAAACAAATGAACTAATAAAACTAGTCGATAACACCCATGTCCCTGTTATCTGTTTGCAAGAATGTGAATTGGATCAATTAAAAGAACTATCAACTAGAATGTTACCCCATTACGGCATAGCAGAAGGCAAAGAATCGAAGGTAATAAATCCTACCAATGGAAATGAGACATTTTTACCCATTTTATATGATACCGAAGAATTAAGATTTCTTCAGTCTGGCCGTTTTAAAACAAATGATCCTGTTGTTAAAAATACGTACGCTACATGGGCGATATTTAACCACGTCAAAAAAAACTTGGATTTTGTAGTAATTAATATTAATCTTTACAGTACTAAATCTCTAGTTGATTCGCTGGAACTAGCCTCAATTTTGTATGACATAAATGCCACGCCTAGTATTAAAAATAAGATAATTTTTATTTCAGGCACCATTAATGGTATGTCTGATAACACAAATACACTTATAAACAAAGGTTTTGTTAAATTAAGCAATTATAATAAAAATGATGGTGAACTTAAAAATACAATGAATACGTATATGGACGTTTTAAATAATATTGAGCGGGATTTTATATTAGCACTAAATACTAAGACGATAAAAGCACAACCGGTATACAGTTCTGTGTTAAGATTGTTTAAATATGGAGCTAGATTTCCAGTGCATAGTATTGTTACAATTAATAACCATTAAATGAATTAATTTTAGATTTTTTATTTTTATTGGAAATTTTATTGTTATATTGATTTAACAAACAAACTAAGTAAAAATTTACAATAAAATAAATGACACAATAAAAAATAAATAGTATACAACACAAAATTAAAGACTTTGTAAATTAAATGTTACATTTATTATAAATACAAAGTAGTAAACTGTTACAACCCCTGCTCTTTATAATCCTTCCTGTGTCATTTTTTTATATTAATTTGTGATTTGGAATTATTATTCGCCACTAACAAACTCTTAATTAAACAATTGTCCATCGATTTTATCTTTTTTCTATAGTTTAACATTCTTAATATAAACTTTATATTTTAATTAAAAATCAAAACTTTTTAAATCAAGTTAGTAAAAATTTCTACAATCATGTTAATAACCAATTATATTTATGCGAAGATTTATGTGTAAACAATTTTAAATTAGTAATATTATTTTGCACAAAAATTATAGCTTCAAAAAGAAAATAAAGTTTTCTTGTTTTCGATTCAAGAAACGGTTTTGTCATGTATATCAATCTTCTGATATTCTCCATCATATATTTGATATTTTAAAAAAGTATTAAATAAATAAATCCATGTTTTTTTCCAACATCAATAAAACCACATCATCTTTTCTAAATTAATTTACTACTTAAAAAATTACATGCATAAAAGAATAAAATTATAAAAATTTATTTAAGCATATCAGCACTAATATTTTTAAATCCTCTTTCAATTTTAGCAGGACGAGGAATATTCTTCTGAAGGGATGTAAATAGTTCATGTTTCTTTCTAACAACTCTACTTGGAATAGTCCATTTTATAAGTTTAGGATTTATTTTTCTTTCCATAAAAGATCTTTCTTTTCTATTAGCAGTTAGCTGTTGCTTTCCATCATTAGTAATTTTTATAGTGGCTGATCCTTTTGGAACTGCTCGTCCAGAGTAAATAGAAATTCCATCAATCATTTTTAAGGGTTAAAATTTTAAATTATAGACATTAGAGAAAAATTATATAAAAAGACATTCATTTGTTCTGTAAACTGAAACATTGTCATTCACTTGTTCTGTAAATTGAAACAGTAACAATTACTTGTTCTGTAAATTAACAGTAACATTCACTTGTTCTGTAAATTAACAGTAACATTCAATTTTTGTAAATAAATGAAACAATGATTGCTGAAGTCAAACAGTTTAAAAGTGTGATTTATATAATTGGTCCTTATTCAAAAACAATCTTAAAACTCATGATGGTGTGTGCAATTGGTTAACACTAATTATAAAAGAAGTTTTGTCATCAATAAACATGTTGTCCATGAACCCTAATATTGACATTTACTTGTTCTGTAAACTACAATGACATTTACTTTTGTAAATAAACAGGATAATAAAACTTATTATTAAATTCTCTTATCATAATAATTGTATATGTTGCTTTTACTAATTATTTATAAAGATTGTAAATTTTCTAAATGCAGAAATTTTAATTTAAAAATCTTTAAAATAATTGTTATTAATAACTTTTTATCTTGCAGAAAAATATTAAAAATTTATAATAAGTAACAATAACACTTTTAAAGATTTTACAGTTATAAATGTTAAATACTTACTTTTTATAAACACATTAAATTTATATATTTTCTTTAAATACAGCATATATTAAAAATAATAAAACATATTCAAATGTATAAATAACTCATTCTATTATATTCCATAATTCCATGTACTTAATATTAAAAGATGTACATTGTTCTTTAAAAACGCTTTCCTGTCCTTTTCTCAGTGTATTTTGTATTAATATTCCATATTGTCCATTTTTACATCCAAAAGCCAAGTATTGCTCCGTACAAATGATTTTAATATCTTTTTGATTTAAAGTTAAAATATTTTCTGCATTAAAAAGAATTATCTTTCTTTTTCCATAAGGTTTAAGATCTAAATGTATATTCTCTTCAAAATACACACCTATAATTGAAGAATATTTATTATCTGTCTTTATTACTAAAATAAAAGGCTTATTTTTATTTGTAAAAGATGAGATAAAAGTTTTATAAGAAAATCCATGTTCAAATGTGGAATATAAAAGATTCCACTCTTTAGAATATTTATACCTCAGATCTAAAAAGCTTTGTATTTTTGCAATAATCTCTTTTTCTAATATTGTATTTGTATATGGTGACATGTTAAAAGTCAAGTTTGGTTTGTATTCTTTAATACCACATTGTTTCATAAAAATAACACAGAAATTTTTAAATTAAATATTAAACAGATCAATTATAAAAATGATAAAAAGTATTATTTTACAAATTAATAATTATATTTACATCTATACTAAGTTAATGAATTAAACTTGTTTAGTATTAATAAATATATAAAACTATATTTATGATATTTCAAATGTCACTGTTTTTCTTATATTGGTCTTAACTTAAATATATTTGCAATTGTTAAAATGCATTTTTAATGTATATTTTTTTCTTTATCTTTTATTAAAAATTAAAATAATCATAAGCTTATTGTATGTAATATTTGTAATTTACATTAAATATTGTAAAAGATTATTACGAGATTTAATAAATAATCTATTAGAACTAACACTGAGTTTAGAATTTTTAGATTATTCTTAACATGTTTTTTTATTAAAAAAGCTTCTGACTTTCATATTTTTACTTGCACTTTTAGAACCTATAAATAAAAATAAATCAATTTATGAACAAAAGAGAAGTTTGATAATGCATAAAGTGGGTACGAAATTATGATTAAGTGAAGTAATACTACATTTAAAAATTTACTAAATATTTAAAAAAAGATTTTAATTAAATAATACAAAAATAAATTTTTTATAATTAGATGTTTTTAATTACATTTAATATTTTTAATATTAAATGTAATTAAAAATTATAAAATTAACTCTATTAGTAATGTGTACGTTTATCGTATTAATTTTTAAAAATTAATTAAAAACAAATAATACTTTTTCTATTTAAAATTTTAGTATTGTTATTATTCTTGTACTTTTAGAAATTTAAAATTTATAATTATTTTATATAAATACAATTTCCTTTAACTTCTATGACATAGCATTGCAAAGTTAAAAAATTTGCTGTTCTAGTATTTAAAAAATTTTAAATTAACCCTTACTAAAAATGGCAAATGGATATAATGGATGGACAGCTATTGCTTTTGTTATAAATTGTATGTTGGGATCTGGTATAAATTATATGCCGGCAGTGTTTAATAATTCTGGTATTGTTTTGGGTATCGGCATATTATTTATTGTTGGTTGTTTAACTACTTTCTCAATATACGCTCTTTTTAGATGTTGTTTTAAATCAGAGGCTTTTCTTGATAATGTCGAATATGGTGGTTTAGGTAAATTGAAATACAAGCATTTAGGAATTGTAATCGAATTTACACTTTTGATTGCATCGATACTATCCGCACTTGGTTTTCAAAAATATGCTAGTGAACTGATAACAATTTTTATTTCTAGATTTTATTCAATTGAATCTCCTTCTTTTACTAGATGTTTAAATGTTGTTGTTTTAATGGCTACAACACTGATATTGACTGGTCTCTCAATGATACAAAATCTAAAAAGATTTAAAATACTATCTTACTTAAGTGTGTTTTGTATCTTTTCTTTAATGGTAATTTTAACCTTTTTAAATATATCAATACCTAATTTATCATCATATACATCTGTATCTGAAACTTCTTCTATTGATTTCAACTTTATATTATCATTTTGTATATTGGCTATGTCTGTACAAGCAAATATTCCTTATTTATACACAAAACTTGAAAATATAACGAAAAGTTTATTACTATTTATCGCCGCTTTATCGTCATTTGTAGGATTTATGGTGTATGGATTAGCAGGTGTATTAGGAAGTAAATTAACAGGATCTTCTATTGGCCATAATGATATTATAAAATACTTTTTAGATAAAAATTCTGCATTGAATTTATATATCGCTAATAATAATGATCTCAATCCATCATTTTCTAATCTTTTGGTGGGTTTAATACTATATCAAAGTTTATGTGCTATTGTTATTTTAATTTCCGGTTTTCCGCTGCAACTTGCACCAGCAGTAAGATTTTTTAAAAAATATTTACCGTTTAAAAACGCAAATATTAGCAGTACACACAATATTATAGTATTAATATTATTAACTTTTTTAACACTCATAAATATGATACCGAACCTATCTTTAAATTTAATTTTTGAATTGTTAGGACCTACAGCTATAGGCTTTTTGTGCTACTTTTTCCCATTTTTACTTTATTACGCTTATGCGGAGGATAAATCTAAATTTAAAAAAATGCTTGCATTGCTCATAATGTTATTCAGTGTCATTTACTCCATATATGGTGTTACCTGTGCTATTAAAAAGGCTTTACATGAATCTGAATACGATGGTAAAAAAAATAATTTAATTGATTTTGAATATTATGCTGAACAACTTAATTCTACTACGATAGCAAGTCCAACAATAAATTAAATAATTATTTTAATCTTTCATTTGATTTAAAACTTTTTATTGTACGTTGTTGTGTAAAATTTTTATAATATAAGTTTTATAAATAATATTTTTAATTTATATTTTTCTTTATAACTCGTAGATTTTTTGTGTATTTTCTCTAATTAAATCGGGTTTTATTTTATAAAAAAAATGTTATTGTCGCTCATATCATGCTTTCAGATTTATATGTTTATTTGTGATACTATTATTAACAATTCGACTAACAAGGCTGTAAATATATAAAATTTGTAAAAAATTTACATTAATTGTAACTTCGTAATTTAAGTATTATAGCATAGCAAGTTTTTTATATTAAATTTTTCATAAATGAAAAATCTGCTAGAAAATATAAAAAAATAAAGAAAATACGATCCATAAGAAAAAGGATTAAAGTAAACTATCCTCATTTAAGGGATTTTCTGCTAAAAAACGATTATTATGAATTGCTGAAACTTTGTTCTGTTTCAATTTTAGGATTTTTTAAAATTTTATTAATTAAATTTAAACTTTTAAAATACAATGTGCGTTAAAACCTTAAGACACATTAAAAAAAAATTCCGTACAAAAAAAACAAGAAACAATTTTAAAATTGTGATTTGTGTCCAAACTATGTAATCAAAATGTATGACAAATCTATTTGTATCAAATCTTGTTTTAAATAGGCCTAATCTGGTTTTTGGATTTTTTTTTTAAGAGGTACGCCAAAATCTTAAGACATTCTCTCTAAAAACACGTTTTATAATTTATAAATAATAGATCTTTTTGATATTGTTGCAATAAATCATCGAGTAATTTTATCAACTTAGTCTAGGCTATTACAAAATGTTTAAAAAAAATGTCTTATAATTAAAGTGATAGCTTATTAAACTCAAATTTTGTAATACAAACACATGTTTATTATAATATCTGTAATTTAATGTTTTTTGATTTATAAAAGAGAAGTAAAACTTCTTCAATGTATCTTTGAGACATGATGATTTTAATGTTTTTTTTTTAAAAAAATTATTTATTTTAAAATGAGCAAAGGAAAATTTTTTAAATTTACATGATAAAGGACAAGTTTATGCTTATTTATCAATAGGCAAAAATGCTAAGCAAATCTGTATATGTTGGGCAAAAACAGTACTGCAATTAGAAATCATCTGGCTTCAAAAAATGTAAGATAAATTAATAATAAAAAAGAATAGAAAAAAACACATTTTTAGAACAGTAAAACCAATTCAAGGAATGGATTCTAATAGAGCTATCTTTATTTCTAAAATTAAAGCAGATTTAAATTTATCAGCGTTACGATTTACTATTTAAAAGCGATTTAAGAAGATAGTAGCCCTGTATATAAAAAAATGAGACAGAGTCCGAGTTTGATCAAAATACATAAATTGAAAAGGTTTTGATTATGCTTTAGATAAAATTTTATGGAAAATTTAGTGGCACAAAGTAAAATTTTTTTGATGAAAAAAAAATTCTTTTTGATAGTCCAGATGGTTTTAAGTATTATTGGCACCATGAAACAAAGACGAAATTTCATATATTAAACATATACGGGGGAGGTGGCATTATTGTTTGGGGCGGTTTTTGTTCTAGTAAACAATTAATTTTACTAATTGGTAGTAATAAAATGAACAGAACTGCTTATTGTAAAATGCTTGAAATTTCTCTAGTAACATTCTTTATAGTAAAAATAATGATTTTAATTACGTAGATTGTGATTAAAATTATATTTTTCAACAAAATAATACACCTTGCCATCGAGCTTGTGCAATCAAGATATGGGCTAAAATTACAACATTGTTGCATGTTTTGGCTACCATTAATTCCATATTTTAATCCTATTAAGAATTTATGGATAAATAGCTTGACGCATTTTTCTCACCTTCGGTGAAAAATGGATTAATTTTCACCTATTAATTTTTTACCCTAATAAAAAAAAAGTTTACTAAAAAGGTTTTGTTTTATATAATTAGTTTAATTTCCAATGAAAGCTAAATGCAATTTTCTTTAAAAATTCTACACCGTAATACTCAGAATATCTATTAAGAATTTCTTTCATTTTATCTTCAACATTAATAGTAGAATCACAATACAGAGATTGTAATAGCTTATTTTCTGTTATTTCCTGTTCAATTATTAATTCTTTTAATATTAAAAAAAATGATGCTTGTTTTACCTTTACAAGACTGTTCAAATGCCTATGCATTTCTTCTATGCTATTTGTCGTCCTTGGTATTCCGTTTAAAGTTCTATCAAATACATTCCAAAAGCTTATAGACTTATTACTGTCATTTTCCACCAA